ATCTGAAGGTTGGGTTCTAATCGAAAAGAAATTTTTGACCATATATTATGAAAGATACACGAAAGAGTAATCCACTGTTCACGGATAAGAATTTTGAAATCATTCATTGGAAGATTGGAAACAATCATAGGATAGCAATAAAAATGGGAAATGGAAATGCGTTTGTTTGTTTTTCCTTCGGAAAACATCGTCTTCGGAAATTCTTCATTCAGTTGTAAATCTGGGGTACCCACCTTAATTTTTTTCGGGACAGGAACACAAAAGTTCAACAACACGATCGTCTTGAATTCCACAGAATGTATTGAGTTGGTTCGGAACAAAGTCATAATACATTCTGACCAACGAGGAAATATAATTAATCTGCGGTCTGCATTTCTGATCCAACATCGACATCAGCTTGCGTGATGGAACATTCTGTACTACACGTCAACTCATCTTGCATGGAAAGCAAACCGACACTGTACCATGCAAATCACGGTACAATAATCTTAATAAAAAGAGATACCGTGATTTGCTATTTCCCGCGCATTATTTACCATTCGTACATCTAAATGCCATACACCCACCAAGGTAGAACAAACGTTTTGATTGCAACCTTTTTCAGACGCACCGTTCTATCTAGTACTCTTATTGTTAAATGATTCGATTTAGTATCTTTGTTGAACATTGTGTAACATCACGCAATGAACAGAGCCTCTGATGGTTATTGGATCGTCGTCGTACCACGAAATAGGGAAAAGCGAACTTTGTTGATGCCCGCCGAGTTCACAACGGCTAAAAAACGGGCATGATTGTGCGAGACGGTTGATGAATGAATGTGTTTGAGGGAGAGGAAGGGAATATGATAATGGTTAACAAACGGAGTACGCAGTCTAACCGGGTATGCAAACTCTTCAGTCATTCTGGCCCCATAAAAACTCCACGGCTGAGTTTGCTATAATACCTTGCAATTTTCATAACTAACTAATTATAAAGTTTTCTGAACTACAGTCCGTAAGAGGGTACACACCCTACCGAACGTCATCACGCAGGTCCTCGTGCTTCGTGTCTCCAAATCGTCTAAAAACCTGGGACACCAGCTTCAAAGAAGACGTATCGTGGAAGAAGACAGTCAGGTGTGAGCAATGTGTCCGAAAACTAGGAGGAATAGTCGCTAGCCACATCATACCAGCGCCAAACTATGAAAACATCAATGGTCGAAAACCGTCGACCAATGGATGCTCTCCGTACTTACTTACTTAGCTTACTTAGCTTCTCACAACCTCAAAAGCAAACTGACCGACCCCTGTATCTCCATGAAAAGTCACATGGAGGTTGGTTCTGCATACAACGCATGAGGCTTGGATGTGCCTTCGATTACCCTCCCCCTTAATATGACGCCATCATCCGTCACACATTTGTCTCCTGGGAATTCAATTTGCTGAACATTGTGCTTTGGGCGTTCATCTGAATCTGATCAGGTTCAAGACACCACAGCATGTCATTCGTTTGACAAGCAGTCAACAGGGTCTCAACGAGATCATCTGCGGTGGAATCCTCTGCGAATCTCGAGACGGATAAACGCACCAGGCTAACGGTGAGTAATTCACGACTAGATGCCGTTCGATAATGGGACTGTGCAGAGATCGTTGCAGTAGGAAGAAAATCGGCATAGGCTTTCATCAAAGCAGGATGTCAAGACAAGCATGAACTGGTGCTTGCTGTTCACAAACTGCGTGAACTATGTGGCACAGAATTGATTTCACAATGTTAGTTGCTGGCATAACGCGAAGAGTGCTAGGGGAAAGAATGATGAGTCTATGACGTCGAGGAAATATGAAGATTGATACCAGCAAACTGAGCCCGGCATAAATGACCTACCTGGAAATTATTAATGTCAGCTGGGCAAAGAACAACCTGTAGTAAACAAAATAGCTTCTTCCTCCTACATCTCAGACTTCATCGGAATGGAAGTTTCATATGTTCCCAGAAATCAACTATGAGGTTGTATTGAAACCATTTTATTTGACTAACTAAGCGATTGATCAGCGTCAATCACAAACAGTAATGCGATAAACGGACGGACTGGAGGGCTCGCTTTTCGTATTCTGTCATACTGAATGGCGCAATATTCAATTGGACGATCAGGGCGATACATGTGAAGAAATGGATCTCTGATTTTGTGCTATGAGAAGTATGAAACATTCACACGATCAGATGACTTGATCACAAGAAGGAAAGTACTGGGGGTGGTTATAATTGAAACAATTTTCCAATGATCACACCTATGTTATGCACAGACTTTCTACGAAAGTAGTCCACTGTTCCAATTCTAGATGGTCCGTTGATAAACGAAATACGGTGCCTGGGGGGGGGGAAGAAAGAATCATGACAATACAAGTTGTTCAAAGAAGTCACTTCGGCAGAAATTTCTCGCTGCTCACATCAGTTTCCCAACCGCATTGGGAAACCGCGATGTTTGCACCGTTCCGGAACCGAACGTTTCAGCTACTGCGAGGTCGAAAATCAGTTATTCTTTGTACGTCAATGTGCTTCTAGAATCTCTTTTACTGTTCTGTTTATTATCCCTGGCTTATTTAAACGGGATTTTAGAATCTTATATCAAAGTCCAACGAGTAGTAACCACACCCCCAAATTTCCGTGAGTTATTCGTCAATATTTCTGATCAACACAAAGGTACCTGTTTAAACTTGCGAAAAGTGGAGTTCCAAAATTTTAATCACTCTGTATAAAACAGAACTAGGGTATTGGCCTTCATATCACTCACTAGGATCCAGATTCTGATAAATTTTATCTCGGATCAACCCTTTGTGCGCTACCTTACATGTGCATTCATCAACCTTCGACAATAAATCAGTCGTTGTTAGCTGTTACTCAACAATTGCGTTTTCATGTTCTGTGCGAATTGAGATAGTTGGTCAGGATGAAATGTCGGCTGATTATGCTTGCACAACCAATACAACGCTTTTATGTAAAATCGTGAACTCGGACATTGAGCCGCAATTGTTTTCGTCTATGCACTCCACGAGAGGAGTGAACAGGTCGAATGTATTACCGTACGGTAGATCAGGAAGTTTAACAGAGTGTGCTTTGGATCAAATAAGACAAGCTAGCCGTAATATTGACTTTTGCCTAAAAGTAGAACCTTAGACAGATCAAGGTGGCTAGAAATGAAATCGGAAGTAAATGGCCACCAAATACTTGGTTAGTTCGACCGAACCCCTAAACCGAACAGTTCCGGGTGATGGAATTCAATCAGCTGATCCTTGACAACTTACGAGTCCGGATACCGGAAATGCACAACCCGAATGACATTTGAGGGGTAAAAATCGGTCTGAAGATAGCACTGGCAAAACCGGAAGTACAAAATCAGTCTTCTCTGAAATCAGCACCACTCAATCAACAATTAGATGACCACTGTTCGAAATTTAAAACCCTCCCAATCCTAGCAGTCACTACCACTGTTTCTGCGGTGATATGTAAGTTATGTATGTATGGGTGCACGTAAATGCTATCGCTCGCTCTCCGTGAGGAGGGGTTTAGCGACAATACGAATGAAGTAGGTGAGACGAGGTACAGCACAATACCCAATAAACACAAACACTAAAAAAGTGTCGTGTTTGGAGAGGGGGCGAGTTGATAAAGTTGTCGGACAGTCCTTCTAAGAGTTAAGTGAAGAACACAGCCTGTACCGGAACCGATGCTCAGCTGATAAAAGTTGAATACAACGTTTCCAGACCGTACCAGGAATGAGGATCTGAAGCCTCA